AAGTAGTAGAGGATATAGAAGGGGATAGCAGAAAGGAATTGTCAACACTATATGATAGCCAAACTGCTTATCATGAATGAAAAGGGTGTAACAGTGTTGAGGATAATCGAGTTCTACAACAGTTATGTGTGTGTTTCTAGAGTTTAAATGGCTTCTATGCCATACATTTCTTGTTCTTGTAAACTATGAGGAGCGATGTAAAAGTTTGATGGGCATGAAAGATCATCGTAAGCGTTTAACCCAGAACACCAGCATCGGTACAAATAGCGTGGAGTTTGCTCTCTTTGATGAACTTTGTGGGTAGTTGCTTGCATCTTACCGGTAAAGCTAGTTTCAGACAGCTATATAAACCATCAGGATTGTGTTGCTTTCATATAATGTGGAGTTTCATGGTTAAATGGTTGAGATCCTTTATCAGCTTAATTAAAGTAGCCTCCCCTCTTGGTGGGTTGGGGTGGCAAATTTAAAACTATAATCAGAGTTCACATATTTATAGTTTAATTTTCTATCTGGTGATTTTGGAAAAAGGAACAACTCTAATCTGTAATAACCGACATGACATTTGTAAGAATGGCCAGACTTTGTTATAGAAAATGAACAAGAATAATGTCTTTAGGAAACTATTCAAATGAACAATTGCTTGCTGTTAACAAGGCATGGGTACAGTGGTGAACAAAAGGCAATTTTTGTATCTTCCTTTTGCATTTTCCGTTGCATAGTATTCTTTCTAATATATGTCATTTGATCTGGCTGATGGAGGGTGCTGTCTAACACCGGTGTTTAAGCCCTAGATTTTTTATTATAAGGCTACATAACTGATTGAGAATGATGGTAATCATCAGCATTTAAGCCATTTTCTAATTCTGTTTTGGACCATCCAACTTGCTTGATTTTATTTTCTCCTAATTCCTTTCATTTATGGTTTTTCAAAATACTCATTTCTTCAACAATGCAGAACTCCTCCTTATATCCTATTTCCAGGGAAAAAAAAAACCTCCTACGTTCACCCCGACCCCATCTCTGAATTCGCACAACCCAGATTTTAATGGCTCAACTATTCATCAAACTGTACAAGCTAGCTAGGACAAGTAAATTCAAATTTCCTCAGAGCTCAAACCTCCTTGCTTGCTTGAGTTAGATCTTTTAGCCATAGTTAAATTACATGGCTTTCACTGCTAGGGAATGAGGACATGTAAACGAAATTTGAGCATAACCTATTTGGGAAAATGCTTAAGTTAGTGAAGCTATATAGCTATTATTGATTTTCATTCATAAACTATCCTTGTTTCTATTTGCATAATATGATTTGAAATTCGCAGGAAATCGAGCCAAATAATGTCTTCATGCAATTCATTAAAGCATGGATCTGCATATCACCATCCATAAAAAATCCTCAAACCGGAGGCCCTGGTTCATTGGCAACAACCTTGCCTTGCAGTAGAAAACATGCATTTATGTTGGTGACAATATCCTGGTTCACTAGCATTAAAAGAGTACCTAAACTAGCATTCATTTAATGCCAACATTCTCGCACCGAAGGAAAATCATGCGTTGAGAATGCCCATTAGATTTCTTGCACTTCAGAGCACAAGGTCCCTTAAGGATTTAATTGCAAGTTAGCTGTTTCATCATTAGTTTCTGAAATTTTATTCTTTGATGATGTTGACCGTCGAAGTGACTGGTGGTCCTAGGATTTGATGCTATTCTCTACCTTAAACGTGTTTGGATTATCATCCACAGAATCAGTTATTAGGATATCCCAATTCAATTTGGATTTCATTTATTTTCCATAGCCAAGTCGTGAAAAATCAGGTTCAAGAGTAGTATTAAAAAGTAAGCGTGCCTTATGTAAGCAAAGAAAAAATAGTACAGGATATAGAAGGGAATAGGAGATAGGCATTGTGAACACTGTATAGTTAAATGTTTAGAAAACATTTCTCATATTAAAAAAAAAAAAAAAAAGTAATATATAAAGTTAAGAAAGTTTAAACACCACAAAGCTTGATTTTTCTAGAAGAAACTCAATTTCAATTATCTAATTTTATATAATATCACAATCTCAAAAGGATCCAATAGCTCAATAGAGATCTTAAAACTCATGTCACTTGAGAGACTTCAAAAGATGAACTATTAGTGAAAGGAAGTATTAAAAAATATAAATCCCACATTGAAATTGAATAAATAAATAAAAAATGAATAACAAATAAAGTTGAGCACCAAAAGTTTCTATTCCAATGACTCGATAAAAATAATGGAGCTCAAGCCATTTGAAAGACTCCAAAAAGTGGACTGCAAGTGAGGAGGGTGTTAGAAAATCATCCCATATTGAATAAATAAATAATGAATAATATATAAAATTGAGAAGGAGCTGACAATCATATGGTTTCTATTTGACGTTATAAAATTAAGAAGGGATTATCCACAATAAGGCTTTTATCTAACTCTATACAAACTTCCACCCATCATAAGGTTTCTATCTAACTCTATGCAAGCTGCAAATCAAGAATGAAAAAGGTGTAATAGTGTTGAAGATAATTGAGTTCTGCAACAGTTTATTTGTGTGTTTCTAGAGTTTAAATGCCTTCTATGACATACATTTCTTGTTCTTGTAAACTATTTGTAAACTATGAGGGGCAATGTAAAAGTTTGATGGACAAGAAAGATCATCGTTAGCATTTAACCCAAAACACCAACATTGGTACAAATAGCGTTGAGTTTGCATTCTTTGATGAACTTTGTGGGTAGGCTTGCATCTTGCTAGTAAAACTAGCACTACAAAAAATCCAGCATATAGCGACAAATTTTTTCATCCCTATGTGTCAAAAATCCTTTGCTATATAATATTAGCATCGGATTAGGAATTTTAATTCCGTCGCTAATATGGTAGTCACTATTTCCTTAGCAACCAAATTTTTTTGATTGCTGATTATGGACGAATTGTCTATCGCTCTTTTGCTAAATTTTCATCACTAAATTAATCTAAAATAATCATCCGTCTAGCCTCTCATTTGTTGCCATGTTGTCGTTATTTCCACTAATATATGTTGCTAAACGGCGATGGAATGACTCTGTCATTAAATGGTAGTCACAAAAATACTTATAATTTCATCGCTATTAGTGATCTGTATATGTATCCATTGCTAAATATTCTCATAATTCTGTCACTAAATAAATAAAATTTTAATTTTTAATAAATCAATAGTTGTATATTGTTAATTGTAATAACAAAAAACTATAAACAATACCTTATTAAAACACGATATATTATTTAATAAAATTAAAATAATATAAATTGAAATAAAATAGATATATAAATGCATTAAAGTGAATAAAAACATTAAAAACTTAAAAAAAAAAAAGAAATCTAATCCTCATTAGCATCATTTCTTACTTTTTTTCACATATAGCTATAGATTTTTCGTTGACGTATTTAGACTTTCAAAAGGTTCGTCCAATTTTTACCTTTAGCGACGATTTTCCCATCGCTAAATTGCGAGGCATTAGTCCTTTTGCGAGGGATATTTCATATCTAAATCAAGACATTGAAATTAGTGACGAATTTGCTATTTCGTCGTGGTTTTCCTAGCAAATCTGTCGCTAAACTATCTCTAAAACTCTCGAAAAGATTTTACTCGTTAAATTTAACAACAACGACATATTAGTATCTTTCACTAATAAATCATCGTTATAACATCATTATGTCGTCGTTATTTTTAATAGATGCTATTTTATCGCTATTGCTTGCTATTTAGTGACGAATAAACTTTCGTCACTAATTTCTGTTGCTATTTGCCTTTTTTTTTTTTTTGTAGTGTAGTTTGAGATAGCTATGTAAACCATCATGGTTATGTTGCTTTCATATATGGTGGAGTTTCATGGTTAAATTATTGAGATCCTTTATCCGCTTAATTAAAGTAGCCTCCCCTCTCTTCTCTTGTTGGATTGGGGTGTCAAATTTAAAATTATAATCATAGTTTACATATTTAGAGTTTAATTTTCTATCTGGTATAGTGATTTTGGAAAAAGAATCAACTCTAATCTTTAGGCACGGACACGACATTTGTAAGAATGACCGGACTTTGTTATTGAAAACGAACAAAAAGAATGTCTTTGGTTGAAAAAATTTACAATACTCTGAAGAATAATTATTGTAAATAATTTATAGATCTACTTTTAAGAAGAAAGACAGCTATAAAAAAAAATGCATTCAAATCCACAAAAAAGTAAAAAGATTTCCACCTAAATTCAGACTTTTTTTTTATTTTCTCTATTTTATCTCTCTCTCTCTCTCTCTTTTTATCTATCTCTTTCATATGAAATAACTACTGGTGTTGTTATTTCTAGAGTAGTATAAAATTTCTTGACTTTCGGAAATGATTCAAATGAAAAATCACTTGCTGTTAACAAGGCATGGGTACAGTGGTGAGCAAAAGGCAATTTTTGTATCTTCCTTTTGTATTTTCCATTGCAGAGCTTTCTTTCTAATATATGTCATTGGATCAGGCTGATGGAGGGTGCTGTCTAACATCGGTGTTTAAACCCTAGCTCTTGTTATTATAAGGCTACGTAACTGATTGAGAATGGTAATCATCAGCATTTAAGCCATTTTCTAATTCTTTTTAGGACCATACAACTTGCTTAATTTTATTAGCTTGTAATTCCTTTCATTTATGGTTTTTCAAAATACTCATTTCATGGTCAAACATCCTTTCCTTTTCTGATCTCATAGGAGCCTTGCATTTGCTTGACTTGATAACAGTTAATAATTGACCCCCAAAAAAATATCTGACCTGACAACAAAATAAGGACTGTTAGTAAGACAAGTTCCACCAATTGATTCTAACTTTTTGTGCTTGCTTGGCCCAATGTTGACAATGTCTCTATATGCTGCCTGATTGTTTGATGCTTTAAGGAAAGAGCAGAGGATTCACAATTTACGTTAATTCTAACTAGCTTGTAGTGTTGGAACCAGATATTTAGTGACCTCTTGGACAAGGACCATGGAAGGACCCGAGACTTTGAAATTGGCAGCAAGGGCATCTCTATTATGGGCTCAAAACCATGTTGATCAGGATCGAGAAGTAAGGAACTCAAACCCACCGCACTGATTTTTTTTTCCAAGATATTTTTTTCGAGTTGTCTTTGCATTCTATTGGAATTCCCAATCATCAACCATAAAGGCACCGAACATTGAGGCAACATAAAATATAGTTGTTACAGAATATCAGATTCATGGCCTCTTTTGTAACTATACAGGTAGATTATTACTTGAAAATATTTTTCTGCTAAGAGCTCTAGTTGACAATGTTACTGATGATTATCCACCTCCTTTGGTTGAGTGACTCTATTTTGCTGTGCATAAGACAATACTGAATACACGGTACATCTGTCCATATATGGCCAGAATCTGTAAATGATAGAAGCAATCTATTGCCCTTTTCATTGGCTATTAGGTAGGTTGCAATTTGACATATCATCAGCTCGCAGCTTCAGAGATACTCTGTAAAGAGGGGCGCCATGATTTTGACCTTAGGGAGGCAGAGTTAATTGATGGCGTCCTCTGTCGATGTCTTTCATGTTTGTACACCTGAATTATTGCAACATCATTAGAGTGGTCAGTATTAATGAATAGGGCTGAAACATTGAACAATCAACTATCTTTAATTTATGGCTTATAGTTGTTCTTAATCTTAGTCAACGTGCACCAAAATTGTGGGGAAACATATAGGCAATAGCTACTCTTTTCTTCAAATTCTGCTTTGGTCCTTTCTTTCCTTCTAATTAGTGCATTTTATCTAAATATCAGTTGATATTTCAGTGGGGATAAGAGAAACGAAAAAACACAAAGCGAGAAAAGTTCGAGTAATAATGTTGAAGAGTTAGAAGCAAGATTATATTGTTAGATTGTTTGAAAAATTTCTTGCTGCAAACTAAACTTGATTGAAGAGAGGTATTAAGAGACCAAAAGTAGGTGAGAGGGAAAGCTACCCTGCAATCCTTGTGTATGTTAGACTTCTTTTCTGCCTCACAATCTGTACTTTGCTTCTTCTCCGGTGCTCCCTTCTGCTGTGACTTATTCTTGTCAGCCGATTCTGGCTGCTGCTGTCTCTTCAATTTTGCGTACTTCTTTGCCCGTAGCACCTTCACAACGTCTACAACCACAAAGGAAAAAGGAAAATCAGAATTTTATCCCATATATGATAGATCCTGGTTAATAAAAAAAAAGGCGCATCATAGATAAAGAGTATTGAAAGAGTAATTACTAATCACAAGCAGCAGCATTCTAGCTATACATACATACATACATACATATATATATATTCTAACCTTGAGTAGTAACAAGGCGATAAGCATGACCAAGTGCAAGAGTATCGCTCGGCCTGAGAAGCTTAACACGGGTGAACTGCACAGTTTTGACGTGGTCTTTGTTTTCTTGATCCCCAGATACAGGCAATGGGATAATCAAAGAAACGTAATGACCAGGGTTCATTCTCATCACCTCACTAACGCTAACTGGCCAATATAGCCTCTCTATCTTCCCACTTGGGTGCTGTATGACCAAAGCTGCAGCATCTATGGCTTGACAATTCCCCATCTCTCTATATTCTCTATCTATCTCTCTAGTTGGGAGTGGAAGAAAGAAAGAAAAGGATGGAGAAAGATAAAGAAGAGCAAGATAGAACAAGGAAGGAAGGAAGGAGGTGAAGTCTCTTTCTATACAGCTCCCATCACCCTACAAATATTAGTAGTAGTAGTAGTAGTAGTACTATACTAGGAGTAGAGGTCGTCTTCATCAAGCACAAGCAGCAGGCCATCTCTCATTTCCCAACTAACTCTACTCTCCATGTGGGTCAATTTAAAACAAAAAATAAAAAAAAATTTGACAATTAAATTCTTGGTATTACTGTAACACAACTGACATCAATATTAAAATTAAAAACTTGTACTTAATATACTACTGTATAATATCGGATTCATTAAAATAAGTAGTGATAGTGTTTAAAATAATCAGGCACCGGCATGGATCTCGGAAGCTGGTGGGTTTGCCACGTGGAGAGATGTCAGGAGATAGAAGCATGGCCGGGCATACTGATCTCCGGTGTCGACGGGGTCAAAAGTTTCGACATTTTTCTTTTCTTAAGAATGATTTTTATTCTTGGAAGGATAGATTGATAGATATAGACGTTGCGCCTAAAAATATGGTAATGCCGAAGGCAAAGGTTTATAAGGTCAGGTCAGGCGTGTGTGAGGGAGATTCCTTTGGATGGACAAGGACGCCCCATCATCTTATCCACGCCCTATGCTCTTTGCCTTCTATCCAAATGGCTAATCTTTAAATTTTTGGATTTAGTTGCTGAGAAATTGCACAAAAAGATCATCAAAAATTTGTCTCTTTTATTACTGTTACTAGTTACAATTTCTTCTTAGATTCTAGTTATAGCTTGTACGTATACTGTTTCTTGTTTTGTCTGACTCTATGCTCTCAAATTTGTAAATGCTTTAGACTTCTAAGAGCTTTTTTATTTTTAGTTAAATAAGTCGTCCAATAAGTTTTAAATTACATGATAAAAATGACCATTCTTTCTGAATTAAAAAGATTAGTTATTTTATATATATATATATATCTCAAAATATTGGTATGGTTAAAATTTTAAGTAATGTATTATTTTTAAATATTATTAATTAAAATTTATTTTGTAAAAAATTGTATGAATATAATTGTATATAAAAAATATAATAAAAAAATATTGATATAACATAATAATTAATAATATTTCAATGAAAAAATTAATATCATTTGTATATTTTCAAAGAAGTTTAGAAGTTTGCAACTTCGCAAATGATACGCAAGGCAAGGCAGTGCATTTACGTAATTTAAGAATCCGATGATTTTTTTTTTTCCGAATTGTATATGCATGACTGGTTTGAAATTGAATATACAAAACACCCGTGACCGCTATCATCACAGAAATTACTATTAAAATGTTGAGCACAACTTTTTGTGGAAGCTCCACAATCCGATGCAATTCAAATTTACTCAAATTAAAGAAACACATCTTAGCGCATAATCAAGATTTTATGCTTTAATTTATTAATACTACACGTTAATTAACCATATTAACAAGCAATACCATTTTCCAAGTGTGTGGAAGGAGGTGATTTTATGAATATATAGAGATGAATAGAAAGCATATTGCAAGCTAGTAAGTTTAGTTCGTAAAATCATTTTTATTGATATTATTTATCAAAAAGAATTAAAGAAAAGAAATAGTTGTTCCATTCATCTCAAAAACCATAAATCATCAATTTTATGCCTTTTCAATCCAACTGTGATTTCAATTGCATCATCAAATATATGAGTAATTATTACATGTATTTATTCTTTTGTGAACAATTATTAAAATAGAAATAGATTTTTAAAATAATAAAAAAATGAATAAAAGCAATTAATTCTTTGATTAGCTAGGCATGTATTTTGGGACGTAAAAAGAAAAAAATAGAAGCAATATCTCTCTCTCTCCCTCTCTCTCTCTCTCTGTAAGAAGGACTAAATAGTAATATTTTATTAGTTTTTCGGTGGATACATAATAAAACATTATAGAAAAAAAAAAAAAAGTAAACTAAAGAAGAAGGACTAATCCATAGTACTAATATAAGATCAACCAACATTTTAGGGGAACGAAAGGTTGGCTGCCGGCTTTGATTTGTTTGGAAGCAAAATCTACTGCCACAGTTACCAACTACAGTTCCAGTGTCGTGTTTTCTCTCACAAAAGCCAAACGTTGACACAGGGATTTGATGTGCTAGAAAATAAAATTCACCAATCTTTTTGTTTATGTTTTTTTGGTCATGATCCTTTTAAATTATTAGTTTGTGATTGGATTATGAGCAAAAAGATAACGTAACGTAACGAGGTTAAGAAAGAGACAGTAATCTGGGTGAGGATCTTTGACTCTTGTAAATCTACAGGTCCATGCTAAATCATTTGTATGACATTGCGTGTGAAAGGTTTTCTTCCACGATTCACATGTGTGTAAACATCTCTGATTTATTGTCAGTCTATGTAAGCCATGTTAGATGTTGGGGGTCTTTGGCTCCCATATTTAATGGTGAATGGACTATTTCTTGTTCAAACATGACTTCTGTAGGGGACATCCTCTAATTTTAAATGGCGGGTCCTTAACTTGTTATGGCAATGGATGAGGCAAGCATAAAACATTAAATGGTGGGGGTCTAACCATAAGGTAGTAATTTATTAATGTCTAACCATAAGGTAGTAATTTATTAATAAACAAGCCTTAATTTATAAATTAGATTTAAAATTCGATTCTTGTTGTAAGTATTTTAAAAAATTTATTCTCAAAATATCTAAAATGATGCATTAAGAAACGATTTTTCTTAAATTTAAAAAAAAAAAAGAAAAAATTTTAAAATACGTAAAAACTAATATGCAAACATCCATACTGTTGAATCTTAAAAAAAAAAATTGGGGGGGGGGGGGGGGGGGGTCCTAAGCCCTAAATTTATTTGCTAGCTAGCTAGTGGATGCAATTTAAAACTTTATATTAATGTTCATGGATTGTTAGGACCTTGTGGGGGCAGCAAAATTAGGTCTAGTATCTCTGTACCTTGCCTTAAAACATTCTAATTTCCGAGTATAGCTTTCCTACCAAACATTGGAGGAGTCTTAAGGGTGGTCTTGCTAGTGGGGTTATTATTGTTTTGTTTTTGATTGTTTAGGACATGATGATCGGCTCTAAAAAAGTTGCTTTCTCTACATTCTTCCCCTTTAATACAAAAACAATTCGTTCAAGAGTTTTATAAAGGAATGTCTATTGCAAGAAAAAACAAATGGAATGAAGTGTTGAAGATTCAAATGACGGTACGTGCAAACTAAACTGATGTCAGTCACTTTGTAGTCGTTGTTCATGTACCGTAGCTTCCAAATATTCCTAGCTACTTGTTAATGGATGTAACTTCTATTATAAGCTCGATCCGATTTGTACAACAGATCGCAGAAACTATATTTGGGTTAATCAAGGAAGGTGGATGGAAACATATGACTGTATGGTGCATCCGATATCATTTGCAATTTTGTTAATTGTTTTTGTTTCCAAAATTGAAATAAAAGATTTAATTTGTTTGTTTTTTTTTTTTTTTGGTCAAAATAATAATAATAATAATAATAACTAGTAGTTTGCTAACAAATTTTTTGAAAAGTATGAAAATTTTTATTTTAAAAAAATAAAATAAAAAAAGAAAACCAACAAAACAAAACTAAACCACAAATTAATGATTGCAAGATATTTTATTGCAAAAATTTGTCTTGCATCTTTTTCTTTCTTTTTTTTCAAAGGACAAAAAGCTCTTGAATATCTTGTCATCTAATTTCCTAAGCAATCTCGAACTCTTGCTGTTAATTGGTTTCCAAAACCATATATAGTTTCCCAAATGGCTCTATCTGACCTAATGGTGATGTGTTAGAGCTATTATTATCCGTTTAGTTGGCAACCTGATGGGAATAAACTAAAGATCATTCATTGTCAACAAGCACTTAAATTAAGATGAACGAATTGGGATCAATTTAAATATACAAGAACCTACGTGTCCCTTTTAGGGAAAAGAAAAAGCTATCCTCCTCATTAACAGTGGTGTACTATAGGAATATAATAGGATTAGGATGAACAACAACAACGTTGAACTAATGTCAAAGATGTGGGCTTGCTCCACTTTGTAATTAATTGGTACTATATTGCATAATAATTATCTATACACACGCATCCTAAAGATTCTAATCAATATTAGTGGGCGATTCTTGAAGAACGCACTTGAGGAACGCATTAAGGAACCTTTGTATGTATAGAAGTGTGATGATCAAGCATTGGTATATTCTCTTCTCTTCTCTCTTTATAAGTAATGGAGAATTTCTAGCTATGGTCCTTAAACTAGCAATATAATGCAGATCCAAGCATCTTCTTCTGCATTCCAATTTCCAGCTAGTGGAAACAACTTTTTAACTTACAAAAGAATCAATACTTAGTAATGGCGATTAGGATTTGCCTTAAAAAGGCGCCATTCATATTGGAAGACTTTGTAATGTGAAAGACGTACGTGGCATTATTTCACTGGGTGATAGCTAAAGCTCATCAATGCAAAGAATATAATAAATTCTCTTTTTAATAATCATCTCCTATAATTTGTTGATACTGAATATATATATATATATATGCTTTTCCTTGAACAACATCATGACTAAGATGTGATTTATAAATCATATATTGGCAACTTTATAAAACATAATTGGGTCAACGTAGGTTATGAGCTCGAGGGAAGGAAAAAAGATTGTGGTACCTTTGTAATCAAGTGTCAATAGCCGAAAAAATTTAAGGTGAACACAAAGAATTGAAGAATAATCATGTATAACATCTTCATGTTTGATAAAAAAAATTAATGACATGAAATTAATATTGTATAACTAGATTATTACAGATACAAATATATCAACATGATTATTATAGATTATTGCTTCGATTTTTTTAATGAAAAATTACTCTCTCTCTCTCTTTTAATTAGAAGGAGAGCAAAATAACTCTTCGAAATTATAAATGCGTCATCTTAAAAAACACAACCCTACACACATCATTTAATAAAATCTTAAGATATCTAAAAGGAGCCTCTATAAATAATTAACTCCAAACCGAAAAGAATTAGCATAATTAGATAACAAATCCACATATTTGTTTTTCAAGATCAGTCAAAATAGTCCAAAGTTCAACATTTAAAACTGAACATATACCAATATCATAGGCAAAGCAATAGAGCCAAATTTCAAAGAGTCACGCAACCATATTAATCACATAACCATCCGTGTTGAGTTCAACAAAATCAACTGAGGAAAAGATCCACCCATTAAGGCTGAATTTGTTTAGGAGAAAACAAGTTCCAAGAACTTATTTTTCCTATTTTTCAATATTTGTTTCGCATTTAGAAAAAAATTAACGAAAAATGATTTTTAATCAACGGAAAATGATAGAGTATTTTTGAAAAAATGTTTTCTCCTAGTTTCAAAAGAGGAAAATATTTTCCTTCTCAAGAGTTGTCTCGCTCTCATGCTACTTACGTCTCTCTCGATATATTTTAACAATTTTTTTCTCTATCTTTTTTTTATTTAAAATATATCAAATTAAGTTTTAACTATTCCTTATCAATTATTATTAATTATTTAATTATTTTTCTCTATTTTTACTAATATTTGATTTTTTTATTTATAGATACAATAAATATTCTTAAAAGCCATCTTAAAATTATCTTTATAATAAATATTTCAATAATTTATCTCTATTTTTTTACTATTATCTCAAACACCACCTAAACTATACTTAACATATTGAAAATGATTATTACAAGATTATAATTTTTTTGTAAAAAAAAATTAAAATTAATTAATTCATCAATAAATACATTATTTTTTCAACACTATTCATTTGCAATTAAATCAATAATTTTTAATTTTAATCGATTGTAAAATTTTATTGGTAATTATAGTGAATAATTAATTACAAATTATTCCAACATTAATCTTTTGAGACCAAATGAATAATTATCTATAAATGATAATTAATAATTTATAAAACTATTTTTCAGACTAAATTATCAGTTCAATTTCTAAAAGAAAAAAATTCTTAACCGAGTTATCAAAATAACAATGCTAAGATTACTTAAAATCTTTTTTTACTAAATATGAATATTGACTTGATTTTGTCTCGGGTAATTTTGATGAATTGGTTTGATAGTTAAAAAAATATATTTTATTTTTTGAACTAAAATTTTAGAGTTAGTATTTATGAAAATTTATTAAATTTTCTCTAAATGTATCTTATATTGAGAAATTATGAATATGTCTTTTTGAAGTCTTTTCAAAACTTGTTGATACAACAATCACATATGTTTTTTATATTTTAATTTTCTCGTATCAAACAAATACTAAAATATATTTTTTAATATTTTTTTTATGTAATTATCAAATCATAAAAAATATATTTTTAAAAAATAACTTATTTGAGAATTGATTTTCTCATGAAATTTGTTTTCATAGGAACTCTTTCGTTCTACGAGCAGAAACTCCAAGACAAACCTATTAAAAAGAGGAGGAGTCTATTAACAAAGAAACATATTGGTTTGTTTTCTTAAAATAATAATTAAGACACATCTATTACCGAAAAGACACAGTATTTCAACAGATACCCTTTCTCTCACCAAATATAGGATCCATGAATTATTTTGATGGTGAGTTTCCTGTTTATGTGAGAGAGTGAAATACAACTCCGAATATATTTAATAATTTCTCTAGAAAAAACATGATGATATGGAAAAAAATTATGTTGACATGACATTTCAAATAAAATAAAAAGCCGGCAAATACAATATATTTAATGACATGACAACATATTAAAAAGAGAAAGAATCTATTAAAGAGAACATATGGGTTCATTTTATTAAGAAAATAATAAAAACACCTTTATTAATTAAAAAAAAACCCATTAGATACATTTATTGAAAACAAAAACATTAAGGAAATATCACATAACATTAAAAAAAAAAAAAATTATGCTGCCACAGCATGTCAAATTAAATAAAGAGCAGAGATAAATGAAACACATACACATTTAATATATCATATATAGATTGATGCATGAAAACAAAAGATTTACACTTTTTCGCAACTTTTACAATTTGCTGATGGAACCCTTTGCCTCCCATGCATTGTATGTGAGATTAAAAGGTGATTGAAACAAATTTGAATTATTGGGTCTGGGCAGGGACATGTATAATGGTTTCATGAAATCAGAAATAGACACCACGACGTTGTGGCGGTCACCTTGTCACCTTTGCCGTCTATGTTTTTATCAAATCAAAGAATGCCTATTGTCTCACTGTTTGGAGACACTTTTAAGATTATAATCACCAACTTAGTACTACTTCAGCCAACTTGGTGTCCGTCTAAATAAGCCTATAGAAATATTTTCCCCTATCTCAACTCATAGAGTACTACTTGATCTCCCCATATTTTTCCCACTCGTGCTACAGTGAAATCTGATGGATAACTCTCTTGAATATTGCCCAATCTCCCTCCTCTGTGATTTCTTGGGAATTTTTTCTTTTTCATGGATATTTATCCCAGATTGTTTCATAAAACCTGAAACCTAAGAGATCATTTCTAGTTTGCAAGTTCTTTCCTTGACCCTCAACAAGCATGCCACCGTGGATGATGTCCAACGTGTCACTAAACGACGCAGGGGCAGACCCACTCTACAGGGGCCCTGGCCCCTCCTCCAACTTTTCTCTTTTTTTTTTCTTATGAAACATCCCATGCCATGCTAACACTTTTTTTTATCATGTTTTTTATTTTGTCACAATTCTATTTTTAATATGACATCTTAATTCATGCTTTAATTGGTTTTTTTTTTTTTTTTAGAATGCTTCAATTGAAATTTTAACTAACCTACGGATAAATGAGTACATTTTTACATAGAATAATTAATTTAAAGACTTAAATAATGTAAAAATATACTTATTTTTACAGAAAATATTCTCTATACACGAAAAAATTTACCTAAGTTCATAGAATATTTTTACACCTCCTTGATAATTTTTTTATAGCCATTGGATAATTTTCAAACATTTTTAAAATACTCAAAATATTTCATTTGCACAAAAAAGTATCGTTCATGCATAAAAAATATTCACTCGATTATTAAAAAATTCACCCAATAGCACATGATAATCTAACACCCCTCAAACAAATATTCTATGCAAACAGAATATTTTTCATACACATTTAAAATACTCAAAACATTTATTTTACATACAAAGTTACTATTCATGCATCGAAAAACATATAAAATATTCACTCAATACAGAAAAATTATCCTAAAATGATGCGCATATCATTTTGGGATTGATGTCGTTTGTAAATTGGTGTAGAAATTTTATCTTCAAAACTTTGTTGATCATGAAATGTTGCAATTAAGGATGCAATTTAAGCATTTTGATCACATACGGAATTTTTTTGATTTTAAAACATTGGCAGCTATATCTAATTTTGTGTTAATGGTTCATAAAGACAAGAAAATTTGGAAGTTATCCACTTGTGTATAGAGCGATCACACTTATTCTTACTCGTTCGTTTCTATAACTACTACGGAGCGATCATTTTCAACATAGTGAAGACTAAATTTCGTAATAAAATGAAAGATGACTTTTTTTTTATTCTTTGTTAGTATATATTGAAAATTTCAATTCTTTGTTAGTATATATTGAAAAAAAAATTGCTAAAAATTTTAATATAAATTTGTTTATAAATAATTTTTGTGACCCGAAATAACCGAAAATTTTTATTTTGAGATTATTTTAAAATATATGATGGTATGTTGTTTATAATATATATAAGTTTATATAAATTATTATAAATTTATAAATATTTATTATGGCCATGTGAATATCTAGTTCTGCATCCGCCACTAAAACGAAGGGTGCATACATGAGTGAGCATAGCCTAAAGATTGAAAATTGGATATCAGCATCTACTAAAGGGGAGAGGGGTGCATAGAGACTTTGAACCTGATAAAGTGCTTTAAAGATTAAATTCAAAAGATTTGGCAAGAGATTAGTTACGAGTACATGGTTAAAAAAAAAAAAAATTGTTTTAAATTAATTTCAAATAATAATGTTTATAACCTCGTGATGCACTCTCATGATCTTCTTTATTTTTAAAAAAATAAATCAAATTCATTTATTGCTTTATTGAAATTGGTCATAAATTTAGAGTGTTTTAATATTTTCAAACCATGACAGTTATTAAATAAATAAATAAAATTCAAGTCATAAAGTTGGTTTTAATTTTTAGCATTACAATTCAAATTAACAAAGATTAACTCCTAGCCTAGTGATGGTGGTGTTAAAAAAAAATTTTTAACTGTGTCTTATTGTATCAAAAAAACAATAGATTATATCTCAAGATAATCACTTATAAAATTTAGTAAAATTATTTTGGTATTTTCATTCATGATGCAAGATAATATCCTTCCATTTTCAAACAAATATATACATTACTGAGAATAATTTTTCAAAAAATATATATATATAAAGGAAAAAGAAATAAAACGAGAAAAAAAATAAAAACACAAAGAAAGAAAAATGGGCAAAGGTTCGACCACGGGCCGCACACTAGGCCCAAATGCAGCAACAAATGGAAAACGAGGGAAAAAAAAACGGAAGAAGCTCCTAAGTGCCAAAGCAGAAAACGTATTTGACGCGTCGTTCAGGTGGGCCTTCTGTCCTGATTTCCTTGTCTTCCCGACCACCATGCAAAAGGCCATCTTTCAACTTATTTTATCCACAAAATACATCAAAATCATCCCCAAAACATGAAAAAAAAACTCAATCTAACCTAGAGATGGCAATGGGTCAGGTAGCTGGCCCATTAAGTTAATCTCATACTCTCCCTGTTAAAAAATACTATACTCATTATTCTATTCATTATCCATTAAAAATCATTTACCTATTTTTTTATCTAGCTCATATCTATTATATCATACCCTACCTATATCTATTTACCCGTTAATTTTTTTCTTAAATTAAGGATTTTTTTTCAATTTTTTTATTACTGAATTTTTTTATTATATTTCTTGAAGTCTAACTTGAAAGAAAAATTTTGCTGCTAATTTTACATTTAAATCTTCTATTTTATAAGTTTATAGATGAAGCTTTGACGTCAGCTATGGAAAAATTTTGTAAAATATTGCAGAAGGGGTGGCAAAAGCAACAAAATGTTTCTTTCAAATAACTACATTGCCCTCAGAAAAAATTCTTGTATTGCTGCAAGAAAAAGAAGAAAAGTCGCAGAGAAAATATATTTCTTGTCATCAAAATTTCAAAACATAAGATACGGCCAGCAACTTTAGATAGCAGCTTAGACAATTCTACCGTTAAAACAGTACTAATTCCTTGAAACGGTAGTTCCTGGAACGTTAGAAAGTGATGTCAGGATTAAACAGTTGTAGGATTATATATATATATATATATATATATATATATATATATATATTAGTTCCTTTATAAAAGAAATCATGACAAACCAAAATAGCAAAGAAAAAACAGGCAAAATGGTTTTAGAATATTAAACAGTAGCTGCAGCAGCAAGACATCCAACCAACTAAAGAACAAATAGCATAACATTTGCACTTATCCATGGGTAATATATATATATTTTTTATATTAACGGGTAAAATATAGATATCAATAGGGTAAAAAAAATATTCATATTAATGAATAAATTATACATTAACACAAATGAATAATATTATTTTATTCATATTTAACATATTACTCATTAAAATATTTTTAAAAAGTAATTAATGAGCGGGCAATATATCTATTTTATATCCAGCCCACTGACATCTAACCTTAAAAAGCATTTATTTAAACACAAATATTAAATCAAAAATTTCTTTTGCTTCCTAATTTGTGATTTATCTTATCCCACGGTGATAGGTCCAAGAAACGGTGGCAACCAACTCCTTCAGCCTTCATGTCCAAAGCTTCTTTTGGTCATGTCAATTCCGGCAGAGGTAGAATTGTACAATTATTATTATTTAAAAAAAAAAAAAACATGACAGACAAAACTATAATACTTTTAATGCTAAATAAGATCTACTTCAACAACTTGAGATCTAAGAAGAAACGTGACATCTAGAAGAAATGAAGAGGATTAAACAATAATTATACATACATTTATACCAATAAAGTTTACTTGTTTTGTTGATCTGAAATGAGGGGAAAAGGTTCATGTTGGAGTATATTCGGGGGCATGAGAGCCACAATAAGTTCAAAATTAGATGTTAGAAGATCACACTGATGGAAAGAACTTGTTGAGGTTGAAAGGCAAGGCATAGAATTCTTCACTTCTTGTGTCTGTCTTGAACGACCGGAACTTGTCCCACCAGTGCATCCCTCTATCCTTCCTAGTTGCCGCGTCTTTTTTATGCAAAGTGACGTCCAAGAACATTGCCAAGAAGCCAGCAACAAAAGGTTCCGATGAGAATGGCACGTTGATAATGTCATTGAACTGCCAGAAGATGCAATATCATGAGTTTCCTCATGGGACAAAACCAAACCCGGTTTCAACAATCTGATTAGAGTGATAAAAAGTTATAAGCAGTTACCCATCTTGCACCAGTGTGGACTGGGCCATAACCATTGATTGCTGTGTACTCATTGAAGTATTGTGGTATTGACAAGCCCATGAAAACAGAGAACCCAAGTATAAACTTCGTTCTGAAGCTGTTCAGGTTGCAGAACTGGAGGAAACTGAGACCTGCTGAACCTGTTCATGTAATGAAAGGATAATAAATTGCTTGGTTTTTTGAACTGAATTGTATATGGTAAGAACTTACTACATTTGATGAGACATACCAACGTAGGCAAAGAAAAGGCAATATAAAGCTGCAATAATTGGAGCTGGAATTGAAGCAAAAACAGCTCCAAATTTTCCTGCGTAGAACAGAGTGTAGGTCGTTTTGTACTTTCAATAGAAAGAGAGAGAGAGAGAGAGTTACATGATTCACTCACCAAGGATGGAAAAGAAAATCATGAATCCTGCTGATATTTGAACAACCCTTCGACTGCCAACACGTGTCAGTGCTAACAATCCAGCATTTTCACTGCAGTTAAGCGAAATAAGTTTTCTAATGCCAATATAAGGGAGAAATAGAAAAGAGGACCAAATTTGTTAGGAGATTAAAAAGCCTTTCAGTTCAAAGAAAAGGATCTTACACAGATACTGATGATCCACTCCCAGTTCCAAATATGCCAGAAAATAGAATTCCGACTCCCTGGGATCAATATGAAAGACATTATTAAAAAGGGGTTTAGACACTTCAGAAAATGAATCAGCGAACCAATGAGATATTAGTCATAAAAATTGTACAGTTTCAGCCATGGCAAATTCAGTGACATCCTATCATTCTGTCATATTATTTACGTTCAGCATGTATAATATGTTCAGAATCTAAAAGGGCAGGTAAAATTTGAGCTTGATTGACTATCCATTTAAATTCAATTAATAAAGGACAGCACCCTCTATATTTTCTGTGTGTACGTGTAAATGAGTTAACTGCAGAGATGAGTGCAAAACATAAAAGATATACCTGCCAACCAACACCACGGCTAAGTACAGCAGGTGGAATGGGAGTTGCACTCGCATACCTAGATACAGCAATGAAGGCACCAGTGGACTGTTTTGACCACAGAAAGTGAATAATAAGCAACTAATTAAGTTTCAGAGATCAATCAAGATAAGCTGCCAAATCCTAAAAATGGTGTCCTGGTCGAAGTTTTAACATTTCACAGAGGAAAAAACCTCAAGTTACGAAATATTATCTAAAGGAGGGCTTTTTTCTTAGCGTTCAGCAAGAGGCAGATATGCTGATTGCCACCCTTTGTTGCACTTGATTAATGAGATCAGGCAAGCAGTTCAAGATTTTGAAGAGTGTAAAATACAAAATCAGTTTCGAGAAGGGAATTTCTGTGCAGATTATATGGCTCGTTTGGGTGCAAATCAAGAATCTTGTTTGGAAGTATGGAACTCCCTACCTCTTGGGCGGAAGCTAATTTTGCAGATTGATGATATGGGGATTTGTGTGCTAAGGAGCTAGTTTCTGATCTTGTTTCTCTAAAAAAAAAAAAAAAAACACCCAAGAGGAAGAGGTAAGGTAATTCCAAAAATTATAATACATGCGAAAAAAGAACAGTTTTGAGGCAATTTGATTATTAACTTGAACAGAAATTCCATGCTTCTTAATTTGTTGGGTTGGATTCGATAACTATGAGCTGATGGAATGAAAGAAACATGGGCCACTAAATGGAATAGGCATCATTCCTATTTAGTAATACATCTCGAAGTAATAGCCAAAAGTAAACGAACCTCTACTAGTGCAACAAATGAAGCAGCCATCATTGCAAAAGCCTCTCCGGCATCAAAAGTAGGAGCTCCCCATTGGAAAGGGTATGGAACTCTTATCCTACACAAAAAACCGTTATACAAACAACAATGAGGATCAGTGAGCACAGCAAATGACACTTCATTTTGACCTTTTATCCCTCTATTCGTATCATGCCAACAACTAGAAAAGTGACTTGTAAGCAACATCCTTTAGATTACAATTGAACAGTATGTTCAGGTTAAATGGAGATTCTGTACGAGCCTTACCAAGGAGCAGCACCTATAATTCCTGCACGGTCAGTTCGGCAGCTTATTTGGGTTTTGGGTCCTGCATTCTTATATGCCCCACTTACCGTAAGGAGGTGAGCATAAACCCACACAATGACCACAGAGAATATAACAGCAAACCGATCAAATACAGCCCTCTCCCCTCGTAACATATGGGGTATATACTGCAAAAGTAGTCAGATTGTTTACTCAATTACACAAAACTTCCATAAAAATAAGCCCAAACATTGATGATCTCATTTAAGTCGTCTAATGCACTTAAAATCAGTACATAGGGATTTATACCTGAGAGAATATTAAAAGAAAGATGATCTGTGGCAGTCCAATCTCCACACATTTTGCAAGCTAGAAATCCCCAAGCCAAAGGCATTAATGAATACTAGTAGGAGATGCAGTTTTAGACAAGACAAAAGGAAGAAGAAGTAGAAGAAAGGAGCTTAAATACATACTAAGGGGAAACCAAATTCATAGAGCCCAAATCCAGATAGAGCAACCAAAGGAACGGCAGATAATGGGCTCAAGAACCTGGTCAAGTATAAGAAAAACACAAAACGTAAAATGATTAATGTTATTTCGAGTAATTTCTTCGGTATAACTAAACCATTACTGACTTTACCAATTATAGAATCTGATAATTATCTGCAAATCAAGTTCGCATATCATGCAAAAGTAATTACATTTCCGAACTAAATTAAGAAGAAGAAGAAAATAACTCGATGAGAGAGGAGACCAATTCAACAAAGTGAATTAGAGAACTTCAATAAGAAAACTGAAAGAAACAACTGGTAATGATTATAATCAAATAACAAGAATTTGTTAAACCTTGCAACATTTCTCCAAAGGCCACTGAAGCCAACAACAATCTGGAGAGTTGAGGCAACAATGAGGGCACCTTGAATTCCACGCATTATCTTTTCAAATTTCTGCAACACGAAGGATGGTTGAACAAGAATCATATATCATTTTCAATGTACACAAAGTTTGGTAAGGCCGTATCTACGTAAGGGAAAGATCCAAAGGCAACCTCGACAGGATCCACAATTCCACTGTATCGACCAGCCAAAACGATTGAAATGGTAGTCGGCAAATAGCTAAAGGAACCTCCAATAACTGCTGGCAGGCGAGTACCAAACAAGGTTTGGAAAAATGTATTCAATCCAGCCACAAATAGCAATGTTTGAATCATCTTGGCTTTTTCCTCCTGAAAGCAGTCAGAATTCACATAAATTTATAAGCAGAAACGTACATACACGATATAACAGAAATAAGAAGCATCAAAGAGGTGAATTGCTTACATTTCTTCCCCCCATTTGAGGAACAAGAGCAGTGGGTATGAACACTGTTGTCCCAAGCATCACCAAGTAGTGTTGGAAGCCAAGTAGAATTGCCTCAGCTGCATTTTTTGAAACAACTCCAAATATCATCAAATTAAGAAAAAACGAGGGTGGATTATAAAACAAATAAACACGCAAATGGCTCCAATTAAATTTTTTAAAAAAAACTACAACAAATGCCATTACAAACAAAAGAAAATCAGAAACCACACACAATCAAAGTGTAAAAATCAACTGATTTTGCACTCAGAACAATATGAACCGATCAGAAAGCACTATAAAAGGATTAAAAGATAAACAGAAAAAAATAAAGACAGTGACCAAATAAACCAAAATGGGATCAAGAAAACAGGGGAGATATATATAAACAGGAATAGCACAAAGGAAAAAAAGTTGATAACAAGAGAAACAGGGGAATTGTAAACAGGAACATCAAATGTGACGATGCAATGCATAACACTGGTCTACTACATATAAAAAAAATAAATAAATAAAAAGTAGTAATCCATTGTCCATATATATATATATATAAAAGAGAAGATAGAGAAAGAAAAGAGGAACTGACGCCAAGGAGGCGGGCTAGTAATGCAGTAAGCAATATTTGGAAGCTGATCCTTAGCAGGATGTGGCTGCAGCTCATCCTGTTTTGGTGGTGGTGCGGGTCCTCCGCCTCCAGCCATATCCTTTCTCTCTTTGCTGCTACTTTTGCTTCCTCTCACAAAGAAATTTTGCAGACGTCCTTGCACCCTCTAAAACCCAAATCTCTCAAAAAAAAAAAAAAAGCATAAAACCCCAACAACAGATAAACTACTAAAACCCAGATGTCAAAATCTTCCAAAAAGAAAATAAACACAAAGAAAACCAGCAACTAAGATAAGAAGCCAAACCCCAACTCAAAGCAAAGAAAACAGGGTTAATGGTGTACTATTACTAATGAGAAAAGAAAAGACGGTTAAAGAAGTGAAATTAGCTAGCAGAAAGAAAAAAGGTAGGAGAGGAGGAAGAAATGGCAGTGAAAAACATGGTGATACTAAATACTAATAGCGTAGTACAACAGCAAAAAGTTATGTAGCTTAGTAAAGACCCGCTCCACTTGCAGGGCAAGCAACATAATAAAGTGAGTGTGAATGAAGGAAGGAAGAAAGAAAGAAAAAAAAGCAGAAAAAAGAAGAAGCAAAAGCTCGTCTCTCCCAAAGTGAGAAAGAAACCAAAATATACACCTCTCTCTGTTACTCTCTGCGCAAACCAAAGGAATCTCTCCCTCTCTCTCGAACTCTCTTTTCTTTACTTACATCGCTTTTTATTTTTCTTTTGCTATTTTTGTGTTAATTAATACCGTTGGGTTTACTATCTCTCTCTTCTATCTTCTTCGTTCACGTAAAGATTACAGCTTGATTGCATACATAAAAGCTATGCTCCAGGACCGTCACCTTTGCCGATTTTATTATTTGAACCAACTATCCTTTACATTGATCAATGTTCCACTGCTACCCCCATAGTTTATGTTTTCTCAATTTTACACCTATACGCTATTTAATGGTTTGGGTACTAACACAGGAATTAACTCTTTTTGGAAACTAGAAGGGGATGATTGAAATAAAACTGTAAGTTATACGGGTAGAAGTAGGATTTTAATGAATTTATAAGGGTAAAAATGAAGCTTGTCCTTGTTATTACAACTACTAATAATATTCTACAAGCTATAAAGCGGGATTATATTTTAACAAAAAGATTAAGAAGGGCATTAATTAAACTACAAGACAGATCAGATTCGGAGCAAAAGTTGGTAAATTTTTTATGCCCATTAATTGGTTATACTTTCTTTGCTTCATATTACTCCTACTACAAGTTAGTTCCTAGCTACCTACTTTATTAATTACTACCTAAGATAGGCAATAAATAAATTAACTTACAGTGGTGAAGAAAGAAATTCAAAAGAAGTACGCAATGAGTACCACTCCTACTCCTGTGCATTATGTGTGCAATTTCTTCACAAATAAAGCAAAAGATCAGTAATCTATGAGAGTGAAGAGAGCATTTTTGATATTGACGCAAGGAAAGGATCGGATTTTGTAAGATTGATGGGTCCCTTTCGCTTCAAGCATTTGTCAAACTTATACACCAATTCCAACTCAGTAATGCATGCATGCCCACTGCCCAATCATCTTGCGTCTAATTCATGTGGTATGTAGCTATTACTACTACTCATTCTATTTCTAGTCTCTATGGATATTTTTTGCTTTTTTTTTTTATTTGTCACTAATATATAAGCATGCAGGGCCTAAAAACTCTTTTTCACCTACATATAAGCCTATAAATATTATCACAGCTATATATATATATATATATATGTAAAAAATTCGTCTATATATTTTATCTGTATGTAGAAACTAGAAATTATTTGGTATGCAAAATCTTAAAATTTCTACTAAGAATGTCATTAGTTTGTGTTTAGTGAAAAATGAAAATTTCTAAATAATATTGTGTTTTTGTTGTGCTTTATTTATTCTTGAAAATTTATAAAGAATTAAAATAAGATTACTATTTTATTCTTGAAAATTCATAGTATCTAAATTTGCCTTTTCCTTGTGTTTAAATAACTCTTATGTACACATGTCACATGTTTTGAGACCTAGAAATGAAATGGACCTAACCATACATTTAACAGTTTTGTATAAAAAAAAATATGAACTTTTTAATAAAAGAATGTGAATTTAAGTTGATAAAATTTTAACCAACAAGTAAAATACTGAATATGTTAGAAAATATAGAGTATTTTAATCTTTTAAACACAGGCCTACTGCAGTTATGTAGAATAGGTACGTAATCAGGTTGATTAATTAGTTAACCGCAACCTTCCTCTTTTTCCTTTTTTCTTTTTTTAACGAGTCAAGGGTAAAGAAAATGTTCGGTCTAAAAAGCAAAAAAAAAAATGCAAATAAAGTGCTGCCTGCGACCCGCGTTAATTTAGTGTTGTGAATGCTTTATTACCTGACCAGCCCCAAAAGGTGATAGGCTGTACTTTACACATAGCTTTGGAACTCTAGATGACGAGTTAGAGGTTCTTCTGGACATTCTGTACATGTTTCGGGAGGTCCGTAGTGCCATCGTAAGTATCTAAGTTTATTTTTCCGGTAAAGAATTCCTTCGGGAGTTTGGGTTTGAGTTTGGGACTTGAAGGGAGTTTGGGACGATGAGGTGTTTTCCTCGCGTCTATTTTCGCATCGGTTGCGGGTTGTGCTCGCTGTGCTTGCTTTTGACCTTTTGATAGCACACTGCTTTGTTATTCTTCTTTTTTTTTTTTTTTCGCTAGGCCTGGCTGACTGGCTCTTTGTCGGGGTGGCGGTTCTTATGTGGTTCGTGAGAGCGACGCTCTCTTCCTTGCTTTCAATAATGGACCGTCCCCTCCCATTCAGACTGGGCTAGTCTTTTTTGTCACCGTGGATTCGGGCATGAAACTATTGGTGGAAAAAAAATTTTCGAGCCTCGCTGGGGCCCTTGCTGAGTTTGCAGCATCATCAGAGTAGTCAATGATTTGATTTGCTCCTGGGACTGGATGTATGCGTCAGTGTGAAACTCCACGTGTCGTTAAAGTTGCAAGACGTCGACTGGCAGAGTATTAGAACTAGCAAAATCTACAAGAGCTGGTCTTGAAGGAGATTCTTGGTTATCAGCCACAGAGAACTTGAAGAATAGATTAATAAAAGAATTTTGGAACTTTTTTGCTCAATTTTTTTGTAGATGGTGTCATTAACGAGGTTGAAGATCCATGATGTATAAATTAATGAACCATCAAGCTTCCTTCTTGTCCTGATATGATCATATCGTGATAGAGAGTTTTAAAGCTATGATCTTGATTATAATAGCTACAAAACAAAGTTGTTTTCTTGGATTTAAGAGGATTTTACAATAGCTAAATTAGTATAGAGAGAGAGAGAGGCAAAGATAACTTTAATAGACTTGGTAATATAAATTGCATATGATGTCTTTTCTAACTTATATAGTGTTTAACGTCTTTCGGGTAAGTTAAGAGTGTTTAATTTATAAGATTGAGAATATATAAAATGATAGATATGTCCTTATTCGTCTATTGATTTAGCTTGGTAGTAAACGAGAGGACTTTTTGCTTTCTATTTTTTGTGTTTTTCTATCTTTTTTCGGGTTCTTACCTTGTCGAATAAGTTTTGAATTCACCTAACCTAATGATCACTACAAGAAATCTGTCAATTAGTGGCGGATAATTTCGTAGCTAATTGTCACAAATTCATCGCAAAAGTACATTAGCAACTAACTTGCAACGGAACAAATTTCATAGCCAAAATGAGTGTTGCTAAACCCTGCGATGGATTTATTAGTGTTCTGTCGCTAATTCGAGCAACGAAGTTTCCATCGTTAGTAAACTATTCTCGTCGCTAAATGACAATAGGAGCACCTTAGGAACCATCACAAAGCTGTCATAAAATTGTATGTAATTCGTCACTAATTATTGACAAAAATTGTCGTTGGTTTCCGTAACTAATATCCATCGCTAATCCATCTCTCGCTTTGGTCGCTATTCATACGTTATTTTATAATGAAATTTTTTTCCATCGTTGTTGTTTTTTACCAAATTTAAGTTATTATTTTCAAATTCGTCGCTAATTCGTAGGTGTTGCATCGTAATTTTATCGCTAGTTTCGTCATAATTTTTTTATTTTCTTTAATTTAATTTAAAATTTTTTATATTCTCAATAATAGCTCATAATTAAAACAAATAAACGAACTTATTATAAAAAATAATTTTTTATTAAAATTAAAAATTAAAATAAACTTTATATTTTAAAAAATATTTTTTACTACGTAGGAAAAGAGATTAAAAATATAAAAGAAAAATTACAAGTCACCGCATATCATGTAATCCCCTCTCATCTTCTGGGGCTCGATAGAAGGACGGTAGAATCTTGGAACTCGTTAGGAGGGAGCATGCCATCCCGGGGCTTGGTGAGACGGATGATGGTGCCCAAAGGCTAGCCGGGAGGGAGTGTGGAGTCGTCGCTAGTGGAGGGATCGGTAGGCAAGGGAGTCGACCGCCCCATCTTTTCTAACGTCAATGAAATCGAATCCATCTTTACCTCCATCCCTTGGATCTTTATTTGTTATTGTGTGATAATGTTGCTCTGCTCCTATAACTTCTCCTACAATGCCCTCATCATGAGGTGGAGGTCGTTCGGCGGCATCGAGCCATGAAGCTGCGATGCTACGGAGGAGTAGCTAGTTCCGGTTGATTGAGATAAATAGTGATCTACCTCCGATCCAATCTCATAAAGCCTCTTCTTCTCTCTCCTCCTATAGCATGGAAGTATATGGCATCCACGTTGACTCGTGACTCCTTAATTCCAACCTCTCGCTACTTCCTTATAGATTTATGTATACGTAATAAAAATAATTATAGCGTTAATAAAAAATTAAAATAAGTTTTTAGATTATATTTTCATATTATGTAATATAAAAATGAAAATAAACTTACCATTGTAGAATGGGCCCATAAATTGATAAAATTATCATCTCTTCGCTTGTAAGTGACCCCAAATAACTCAAAATTGATAGGTTGATGACCTAATTTAATAGCCTAAAAAATTAATATAAATAATATATGAGATGCAAATATTAATTTCTAATACATTTAATAATATATGATAGG